ACGTAGTTTGAAGTTTGTGTTTGTTTGTTTTCTACGGATTTATTAACCTGCTTGAAAAGAAACGAGCAAAACTATTAAAATGAAACATGAGAAGAAAGCATATAAAATGCATTACAGTTTCTCTTCCCTTTTAAGTACCTGTAGTTTAATTTCCCTTAATTTGGGTTTATATTGGACTTCATGTACATTGGTGAATATTTTGATTTGATTGATGAAGCTGTTTTAGCTGTTACATGGCCAGTGGCGTAAGTTACCTGTTTACTGCCTGGCGGATCGTCTCATTAACAGTGGGCAATCAATCTTAAATAGCACGTGGTTTCCTCGGCGAGCTGGGAACCATGGACTAGACATAATCATAGATTTCATTTGACTTCATTATATTACACTAACATAAACGATTCAGTGCTTTTTGTCATATTGTATTTTTTTCTGGTAGTCATGTCTTTGATTTATTTAAGACAAGACAATGAAGTATGATAAATGCATTTGTATGATTATATACTAACACAAATCCATGTAGAGATTCGAAAATAAGCCATGTTGTAAAATACCAGGTGTGTTGATACAAAACGCATGTCGATAACGCTGTCATAAAGCATCAATCTGAGCTTCAAATTTTTAAAACAAAAGTTTTATAATATCGCAGGCAGACTGCAATACCACCCAACATCTATCGCCTTAATGTGATCTAATTATCAGTGAGACAACGCCAATCTCCGGTACACCGGATACAGCTATACGCGAAGCGTAAAACCAAAACCATCGTGGTGACAGGAGGAAAGAAAGTGTCGTTTTTAAGTGTCTGACATTATATTACTGACAAAGTTACGGTTTCATTGTTTCAGGACGCTCGACAGTTACACTGAAAACCCCATATGAGAATGCGCAATTATAAAAATGTTGTGAAGTTTCTGGGCAAACATCAGGGAGAATGACATTACGGCGATATATTATTGGTGGCAAATTATGATAATAACGTTACATGGAATTTATGTAAATAGTTCAATTAGTGATTCATATGCATAATTATAAAGATTTAGTATGAAGATAAGATTCCATGTGACCTTTAAGTATCGTACAGACAGCATTCCCTCGGCCAAATATTATCATATAACTATGACACGTAGATGATACAAGACCACATTTATCAGTGCCATGCCGAACAATGTATGCCGTAATGAGTTACGATGTTATTCTCCTGTTCATTCAAGGTTCTGGCTTCTCTCGTTTGACTTAACAAAAATATCCACCTATATAATTATATTTATAACAATATATATTTTTTAATCAATATAGATTGTTTCTTGTTTAGATAGTACACTGTCAAATGGTTAGTACCCGTACACACGTCCATTCAATCATGCCAATGAAACGACATCCACATTCAGAGAATTGTTATTATAATGGCCTGGTAACAAAAATCAGGAAGTTGTGCATGTCAAATGAAAGGAGGGCAATGCAGGCGGCATACTTGACAGGAAATGAAACTAAATGCGATGTCATCATCTCTTCAAAGGTTTGGTCAAATGCTGTTATGACTACATGTTCAAATTTCTCGGTCAGTGTTTCCGATGTTAATGTAGGTCTTTCTGAAACAATGAGACCAGAGATCGGCAAGCAGTGTTACGTTAGGTAAATATACACAACGATTTTCATACCTCCTTTCACCGTTGTTTTTAACAACGTGTTCAAAAATATAATCCTTATTCATTGGTTTAGTACGTCACTCTCCCATAAACAAAGACTTGAATCATTCTTGGTACAGTTAATATTTTCCCTCGTTCTCTGTGTTAAGGTGGTGTAGGAGTCTGGTTGTATATATATCTTAGTTTCAGACTGAAGTAAGGTTAGTCCTGTGGTCTTTGTCAACACAAAGGGTAAGTACGAAATATACAATTATGTCTTAATTATAAAATATTGTTATATGACAACTTTTTTACAAAAAAAAAAAAAGACGATTAACTATACCCGGTATATTCACATACATCATTTATGTTTTTGGTAGAGACATGGTATCTGTAATTTATTCGTGATACTACATGACTCTGGAGTTTTAAAACAAATTACTTTTATTAGATATTACATCAGATTCAATAATAAATAGGAGTATGTCTGAACCACATTTCCACAAATGATTTGTCATACAAGTTTAGGTAAAGATAAGGTATGGTGTTACCAGCATCAAGTCTACATGTTAATATATGATACACAGTATCAAGTATAAAGCATAGATTGTATGATGAAATTACAGCTTATTTAGTTCATTTCATATTTCATATTTATTGGGGTTTTTTTTCATAATTCAAAAGAATTATAGTGTATACACTACTCGCATTTTCACATCATAGATTCACCTGTGTATATAACTTGTACAGATTGATTAATAGTGGCCCTCACAATGGAGTGTGATCATGCCATTATTCGGACGCTTATACACAGTTTATGTATACAGGTGACCTGTTAACATATGTATTACTGACATTTCAAAAACGGAATGTTCTCGTGACGTCATCAGTACATATTCACCTTTTAGATACCTGGAAACCAATCCCTAGGAAATTTCTTAATAATGAGAATCGGGTGAAAATACAAGAAAACAAAAATTATTACTATCGTCATCAATAACATCACCCAATAACAGTAAGTACATATAAGTAACGCTTAATACAATTTCATGGAAATGAAAATTAAAAAACAGATTTGGCAAAATAAGTATTTGTACATGTATCTAAAGCTATCCCACGACATCATGATATTTTATTTTGGTGCATGGGCATTTAAAAATGTGAGTTTTTAACATGAGGATTAATTACGGACGTCGGTATAAACATTGTTTGTGTACATTTAATTTCAATTACTTTCCAAGATTTCTTATATTTCTGATAGGCATCCTTTTCTACTTATCTTGTCTAATTTTGCAGAGATTTGTCATCAAACAGAACTGCCTGAAGATCACCATGACGTGTATAGATATAAAGTTTGTTCTTTGCCTTGTTTTGACAAGAAATATACTCGTCACAGCTATTTCACGTGCGGATTCAGATGAAAAAGGCCAGTCGCCTCTTTACCTTCAAGAATCTTTTAAAAGACAAGTTTACAATTTAACGAATTTGATATACGAAATATATCTAGTATGTGGTCCCCAATATATTTGTAACAAACAACACTACAGATTTATTACCGAATTCCAAAGCAACAATACCGCAAAAATTTGTCCTGAGTGTAAATGTGATAAGTATTGTGTGACACGTAGGGACTGCTGTCCTGACGTCATGTTTTCGATGCCAGAGACGGAATGTGTTACGACATCGCTTCTTCACGATAGCTTCAATAAAAAGTCAAATCATTACGTCATCACGGAATGCCACGACAAAAGTTCGGAGGAGCTCAAGGAAAAGTGCACAAGGAATTACACCGAGATTGAATCCTTACAATTTCCACCCGTAACCTCAGCCGAACATGCTTTCAGTTTTCGTAACAAGTTTTGCGCAGAGTGTAATGGGATATACAATTATACAGAGTGGAGAATTGATGTGTCGTGCTTTCTCTTTATTGATTTAAATTTCCTTTCGTCCTATGACGCCATTTTCGATGCCGCAAAGGATAGAGATTGCCAGCTAGAGTATAAAACGGACATAAATGACATGCATGTATGTCATGGGACATTCGTTCAACCACCACCAGGCAGCTTAAGCAGCCGGTGCAATATAACAGGAACATGGGAATACTATGATCCAGATATAGAAGCTGCATGTTCGACTGCATACGCGCTCGAGTACAAAAGCTTTCGAAACATTTTTTGTTTTATTTGTAATCCCCCTGACTACTTTCTCGAGGAAGATTTGATCGATACGTGTAATGTTTCTGGAATATGGTCTCCACTCGATACCTCCATAGAAAGAAGTTGCAACAAACTTGACTGGACTCCAAACACGCAGCCTTATAAGAATGTTTTCTGTTTTCTTTGTAATAGGAACAACACAGATCCTAATCAATATTTCGATGTGATCAGCTCCACTGTAGAGGAAACAAATATATTCTACACGTATCGTATATCTGTTACCGGATATAACCTTGATTTTTATCAAACTGTTCTTCAGAAATCGAAATCAAGGATGTACTTGAGTCAAATACATAAACCTTCGCCTCTGTTTCAGAAACCATGGAATACTACTAAACTCATATCATACCACTATGCCATTGATGGTGTAGACTCCTACTGCAAAAGTACTCACGCATTCTTTGAAAAACTACAGTGTTCATGTGATATGAAGACATGCCTTTTTCGCACTAAACCACCTTTTTGTTGTTTTGATTTGCTGTTGGAAGCGCCTACATCTTGTTTCAGTGATGTTTTGGTAGAATCATCTACAGTTGATCAGGACGATCCCAAACGATATGGAGCAGTGAACGAGTGTGGACAGACAACGGATGTCAATAACGAGTCGCAATTACGATGTAGAATAGCGGCAGATGATATCTTTGGTACACTTCCACTGACACACAAAGATTCCATCTACAAGAATTTTGATTGTATGTGGTGTAATTTAGACGCTAGCGAGAAACAACAAAATGCATTCATACCTTGGCATGTTCAGATAGAATGCCATTCAGAAATAAACGCACACTTCCATGTCCTGCTTAATGATGTTATAAAAACCGCCAAGAACATGGACTGTGTCGTACGTGTCTCTCCGAGGGACACTGACAAGCCAAATATCCAAATGAGTCAAATGTTTTGTGGAAGTTTACAAGGTCCTGCACTCATAAATAAGTGTAACGTTACTGGCAAGTGGACAGATTTTGACCCAGATGTAAAAGCAGCTTGTGAAAGTTATGGTAAATTTCTCCCGCCTTTCCGCAGTCAGTATAAAAATATATTTTGTTATGTGTGCAATCCTTCTTCACATACAAATAATAATTCCATCGACACATGCTTGGTACCACGTGATCAACAATATTATGGTGAAAGGATTATCGAATTATGTGAGAACTTGCCGATGGTTCCTGGATTTCAATCTTATAAGAATGTATTCTGTTCCCTCTGTTCCAATATCAACATGACGATCATGCCACCGTATTTGTGGCGTCCTTTTTTCACGGAAGCCTTTGACATCCAACCTCCAACAATGCCAAATATTCATCCACAATTTCGCGACATGTTCTCACCAGGGGTTGAACGACTTCCATTGGCAGTACAAGCTGAAATACAGATACTAACTTTCACAAATGGAGAGGAAATCTACAACACGATAAATGTAAGTTCTAATATACTAGATATGTAGTCAAAATATTGAAGTCACAAACCGTTCTGTCTTATAGTCTTTTAATTTATAAGAGCTTATCTTCCCGGAGGCTACGAAAGGAGGTATTGATATGGTAGGATGTAGCGCGTGATAGGCAGAGACATAAGTTAAACAAAAGTACTGTCAAAAAGTTCTGCCATCATCTAGTAATAAATAATAAGATTGAAGATGTGATTTTCTTAAAACAAAAAGAAGCCCACGAAATCAATCGTTCAGCATATTGTGTTTCAGTAAGTAGTAATTAAAATTGTTAACCTTATAAAAAAACATCTGTTTTAAGCACCATAACGAGTCCAATTTGCACTCGGGATTCGAGTCATCTATAAGCATGAGCCAACACTGTTTTGATAAAATATCAGATTATTTCAATGTATTATTCTAAACATCGTATAGGCCCTCTGAAACATTTTCAAGAGATGAAATATCATTGAATCGATTTTAAAGTGAAGGCAAACTGAAGCCATTGTGATATCAATGTATATGAAATATGTCAATATCATGCGATGAAAATGGAACAGAACATGTTTCAGGTAGACATAGTGTTGTGCTTGTGATACACGAAAACTGATGACGTCAGGGTAAACTCATTAGTACGATGGATATACTCTACATCCTAGTGGTAGCGTGGCATTGAATCAAACTAGATAGAAGTGTCTGGCTAATATCAGACTCCAAAATTACGTATTGAGATATATTTTCTATCTGAATATATTGGCCATCATATGGGCTACACTAATGACTGTTATTGTACAAATAAGTATATTATATTCGGCTTCACATTTTAAATGTGTAGAATATTAGACATTAAATCAATTAAAGAATACAATGCATTGATGTGTAAGATTAATGGTGATCGGAATTTTTAGTAAGCAGGATTGAATGACAATTGGAATTTCAAAGGAGCATTATATCAAACAAACACAAAATAATGCAGTTCTACTTGTTTTCCTGATAAGTCATTTTCTTAGTACATTGTATGAATTACATACTCTTATAGTTTTAAAATAGATGTGTACGTGTAATTGACACAGTTATGTAGTATCCGAATCACCAAAAACCTTCAATTTCTGCTTAAACGGGTCTTAAATTTAAAATATTTGCCGAATTATATAAGGGCAATATATTAAGTTACACCGATAAATTTGCATTCCTTAATCTACGGTACATTCAGCTGTAAGTAAACTTTATTATAATAATTATAGCCTGTTTTCAGTCATTTCAAAGTATTAATGTTATAAACCATTTATCTTTATTTCATATCAATTGTGTTATCATCAAAATGATGCAGTATTATGTTTTATTTTTTTGCAGAACAAAACACGTCGGCTGATGTGTTACCCAGGAAAAGTGCTAACAAACCAGACCTGCAAACCCTTGCTGACCAGAACAAATAACCTACGATACACATTGGCATTCACTTTGGAAGGAAATATAACTTTAACAGTGTCACCACATGATCTGCTACAAATAGTGACGAGAAAGGTCAAAGATGAGATATCGAAAAATATTGGTGGTGTCACGTTCGATTCGTTTCATATAATGGTGAATTTGAAATGTGATCATATGATTTCAAATGACACCGAAGAGGTAACGTTTAATCTTCATACTGTCTTTTTCGTTTCGGGCGATGTTGACAGATTTCTTACGGAAGAAAAGTTGTTGAAAATGACTGATAATATTTACATTTCCAATAATGTTGTTTTAAAATCCTCGTTAACTTCTGAAGCATTCATGTTACCAGCGCTTGTGAATGCTATCAGTTTCATGAATCATTGTTATAGTAAAACAATGAGAGAAACAACATTCAGCCTCCACAACAACTATCAGCCATCGCTGGTGTCTCCACTGCTGCTATGTCGACAAGTGGAATTAGAGCGAGAGGAGTTTGAGCTAGATGAATCTACCTTCGAAATAACTCTCTTCAAATCAACACGAAAGCTTTACCAATATGATTTTTTGTTGATAGATAAAAAAGTTCGAGTTTGTCTCAAGGATTTCGAGGAAATGTTCAACGGGTCCTATGTGACAAAATACAGTGAACCACCACTACATGCAGCACTTAATATCACAACATTAGTTTGTAATATAATATCCCTTGTATGTCTTTTCTTAACATTCATAACGTACTGTTTATTTCCTGTCATGCGTTCTTTACCTGGAATGAATAATATGAGTCTGGTATTTGCAATGTTCTTTGCCCAGTTGCTTTTCCAATGTGGCTTTTACTTAACATCATCACCAATATTATGTCAGGTTTTCGGTGTCCTTATTCACATTTTGTGGCTGTCGACGTTTGGTTGTATGAACGTGTGTTCTTATCATATGTATAGTGTTTTTGCTGGCGATATAATTGCAGGAAGACTTTCAGCATGGGGTTGGAAGAGACGGATTTCGTTTTATATATTATATTCCTATGGATTATCAGCTATAATAGTGTTCACCAATATCATCATTGTATACTTTACATCAGATGATGATAGCATAGGGTATGGTACCACAAGATGTTTTATAAGTAACCCTATATCGTTTTATCTTACATTTCTTGCCCCCGTGTTAGTGGTATGTTTCTGTAATATCTATTTTTTCATACGAACTGCTCTACAAATTAAAAATTCACCGAAAGTGGATAGTACCAAGGAAAGAAAAAATCAACACGTGATATACATAAAGTTGTTTTCTATAACGGGAATAACATGGATCTTACTGGTCATAGATACGTTGTTTCCCGTATCTATATTTAGTTTTCTGGTGACCATTGCGACAGCATGCCAAGGTCTGTTTGTTTTAGCCAGTTTTGTTTTAAACAAGAGGGTCTTCAATTATTACATTGTCTTAATATTCGGTAAGAAGCGAAAGATCACAACATCTTCGACCTCACAACCAGGAAATACTCAGTCCACTTCTGCAAATTTAAGTTCATTATAATTGGACTAATTTCTGTTTCTATAGCAACCTAGCTGTATTTCACGAATATTTATGTCTTACGTGTGTAATATATTGTTCAAAATCGTAAACATAATTTGATAGGGTGTACTTTTGTTATGGATTTATGTTATGTTATGTTTACATTTATCTCGCCTCGTAACACTACCAAATAAACAATCACTAAGTAAATGCATGCGGCTGATTTCTCAGACGGCATCCTGGACTATTTTGACATAAAGTTCACCACTGGTGACACGATAATCAAATAAAGGTTATTTTTAGTAACACGATGTACAATATCCTTTTACATAAATTTTAGTTTTTATACCAGTTCCGTCAGTATAAAAGTAGTTCATTATTCTTACTATAGTGTCTTATCAGGCAAGTATTACTTTGATTTAACTTCGTTTGTTTTATTTCAAGTGTTATTTTATTTTAATAAAAGATGTACATTTGATATTTTGATTTTCTATGCCATAGTAATGCCATACCCAATAGAATATTAATGAGAGACGAGTGAGGCTTGATACCGTTCGTTAGAAACTTGCAAGCATTAGTCGATACCAGTTTTTAATCGATTTATATTTTTATCTATACATGATCTCTAGCTCTGCTTAATGTTTGATTGTTATTTTTCCCCCAAGTATAGCCCTGGTTGTCGTTATAGGATTACAGATAAATATAATAACGTGCGTTATGGCGGGTCAACAATTCACTAAGAACAAGTAAGGATTCCCGTGTGGTGACACTCCTCTTTTTCGATGAGTGTACTCGTGTTTGGATAAAAATGTTAGATGGAAATATAAAGAGAGAGGAATAGAGAAAAATCCAGGAACCATTGTTGTTTAATCACTTCGACACCACGGAGTGATTACAGTGGTTTACAGTGTAGTAACACTGTAACGCACAATATCTAGCTCTACATACTGAGTGTTTAGCCCTTTATACGACTCCATAAAAATCAGTTGATATAGAGAAGCCTGATGACCCAAGTTTCTTTTCACTGTCATTTTAGTGGACATTACAAAAAAGGCAATAAATGTATTAGTCAAACATCGATTTATCTTTTTCATGTATTTATTTATTTTTCGCTGTGAATATATAAGTTGTCGTCATACATTAACCTTATCCGTTCTACACTGTTAAACCTCTAAACGAAAAAGTAATTTAATCACAGCGTGTACGCTTCAGGGAATTCTGAAAACGAAGTGTTGTATGTTTAGGATTGTATATCTAGTGAACGTAAGTCAGTAAGAACATACAGATTTGTAACTTATTTGTATATATTTTGTATTTTATGAAATGTTCCTTAATGAAATAAATTATTGATTTCAGAAATGTGTTTTTTTAATATTCAGAATACGATTAACTCGGTGTACCTTGGTATTTGAAGGTAAAATGTTGAAGTTTCTAGATAATATCTAAGTCTTTCGTGCCCACGACATATTTAAGTTCGATGTGTTTTATGTGTTCCTGCTGCTGTCTTCTATCAGCGATGGCCGCCGACAAGAACCTGACAAAAAGATACGAGTTTTCATGACTTGTACAAATCTTTGTGTAAAGGCACTGTATGAAAATTCAAATATTTGTGTACCATAGGAAAGTGTACCACGACACATGAAGTATTTTGAAAAATTTTTGTGTACTATAGGTAAGTGTATCTGTACAATTAGGTATGACAATTAAATTACTTCGTGTCCTACGTTGTATGAAAAGATTATAAACAACATTGCATATGCCCACAGCGGGTAGATGGATTTGAACTTTCTCTACTATGGTAAACTTTTGCATGGTACTAAAACTAGCCTTGCAAGCTCATCACCTTTTTGTACCGCGATACACCTTTTCCAATCTTATTTCATACCGTACTAGATGACACAAATGTGTAACTCTGTAGAAAAGCATCGGAATGATGTACAACCAGCCGTTATGACAAGGTATGACCCTGCATACAGAATCCCTTGTTACAGGGTCAAAACAAGTCGACAATTTCATTAATCACTGAAAAAAATATTTAGTTAGAACTGCGTGAGTATTGGGGCTCTCATAGGGTCCCTAAAGAGTTAAAAGGAAATCAGCATATTTCCAATGTATTAACATCTGATCACAGTCCATCGGTGTTTTCATAACGATGGGATAATATTTGGTACTGTGATATACATATAATGTCTATGTTTACATATTTCATACACAAAGAGTGTTGCACAGCTCTATCGGCGTAATTGAAACAAAAAACCACAGGAACATGTAACAACGATGTTGCCGAAGGCTTATGTAATATTATTTGTTTCTGTGGTCTTGTGTAGTATACACATCACCAGAACACTGACGTGTAGAATACTATGTTTCTCGTGACTAATGGTAGCCTGTGTCTCTCGAGGCTCGTGACGTATAAATACGTTTCTGAGAGTTTGTGATGTATAGTGTGTTTCTAAGAGTTTGTGTAGTATACCATGTTTCTGTGGGCTTGTATAGTATACTCTACTTCTGGAGGCTGGTGTATTATGACATGTTTCTGGCTGTTTGTATGCAATGCTACATGTGTTACATATATTGCGTGCGTTAAAAGGCCGCTGTTTGTGATGACAGCTTTATCAGGGTAAACTTAGTAATCTTTTAGTCTAATGAATATTTGGCCGTTCTTTTGGTACATAGAAACGCAAAAGCCACCAGATGATTTTATCTGTTACTGTACACAAAGAAATTAACTTGAATATTTGTGTACCATGCGAAATTGTACCATCGTACAAGAAGAATATAAATTCGGCAGGTACCTGTCGGCCATCGAAATTGCCAGATTACCGATCCATTGTGCTTTCCTTAATTTCACCAGTACTCTTCAAGTTGATAACTTATTTACTTTATATCCAGCTATCTATGTAATATATCGCTGGTAATTTTGTCGTCAAATTAATCTGCCTTCAGCTTTATAAACAGATCTGTATACAAGAATGGACGAGTTATTTCCCTTAGACAAGCATCGGACATACGTGAAGTCTGTTTAATGGATATATAGGGTCAGGGTCTGAACGATGTAAGGAGCCAGTTTGAATTTTGTCGTTAATATATTAACTGAGCCAAAGCACAAATTAAGATGACAAAAGATGAGAAATTTTCAGTTCGTCTTTTTATCTTGGAGGGTATATACAAACGTACCCTCTGACGAGTCAATTTGATTGTGATATCTGGAGATAAAAACGCATAACACGAATCATGACGGAGGTTAAAAAATGTGTTTTCGGTGGAAGGAGAGAGGGGGAGTCCCGCTTTGAGTTGTGGCAAATGTTAAAAATCTTATGATGTATATCTTTCACATCCTAACACCGGCTGCGTGACTTACACGTCCCAATACTTTTCATCATTATCGAGTGATGTCTTGCAGGAAGGAAGATGCAGATTCATATCAACCTATGTACACCCATTTCTTAAAATGCAAAAATTACGAGCAGCATGCTTACGAAAATATTTGAAATATTTCTACAGATTTTTGTAGTCAGGATAGTAGTGGTACGTCATGTCGTCACAGTAGTATGATGTATGTATTCAGACACGGTTAACAGAATGACAATGTGAAATATCGAGATATGGCTGAGGTAGGATTAATTTGTTCCGCAATACGTTATTTGCCAAGTATATCCCATGTTAAATGGCTCTTAACTGCCATGTGATACTAATGTTCATGTATATGTATGTGAAAATGATCAAAAAACATATTTGATAAACAAAACGACACCTTTACACACAACTGAATAGATACGTATCCAGCAAATTCGTTATTATACAGTAGCATGGCCTCTGGATTGGTTATCAATCGTCCCAGCTGTACATTAAATGGAAACAACTCTGTCATCTCCAAATGGAAGTTTTGAAACAGAGCAAATATTAAGTAGAGAGAGAATAATATGACACCGTTAGAGCAATACTGTTATAAATTAACAAAATCCTAAGACACTTGAGAGTCCATGTAATTCCATTTCGGCTTTAAGTATCTAAAACTTAATCTAATACACAGTGACGCAGAGTGATAACTTCTCTGATATTTTAACAGTATATTATATTCAACATGACTACAAACCATATCTTATGAGAACAGAACAAACCAGAGGTCTTTAGTCATTTCTCAAAATCTTACGATTTTTATCAAAAGAAATACACATGAAAAATAAAATTTGTGTAATTCATTTGGTGGATTTAGATGTACATACTACAGTGTTATTATATTCCATGTTTGACTGAATAACACTTCAGGATAAACTACCAGAACCAAAAGTGAAACCAGCTTGTCATCATCCCTATTTTCAGAGATGGTGTTACGTAAAGGATGCATCTGTTCAGGCGTCCGCCAATAAACCACACCTGTTCAGAGTGTGCACTCTACTTTTTGAGCACCGAATCTAAACGCTACACTTTATTAAAGTGAAATATTGAAGACGTCTCGCTCCCGCTGGAAATTCTACAAAATGCCTTCACATTATCAATATGCAAACAGCCATTCATTCTAAGAAAGACAACTCTTACCATATTATATAATGTTTTTAAACTTAACAGCAAGATACATCAATACAAAACCTTGATAAATCGACGACTATTTGCTTTGAAACTGAATGCAACAAATCAATTACTATAACATTGCCAAGCAGACAGGTACAACGTGCCAACAGTGTCCAGTTGGAACCCGTATAACGACAAGTGAGGAAACCCAGTTCAAAATCACCATGTTTATCTATACAAAGTATAACATTGGCTTATTTTCAACATCGACCACTTAAATTCATACCGGTACAGTAACAAACGGACCGAATGTCTTAAATACCTACCACCTCCAGTTCATACCTGTACAGTAACAAGTGGAACGAACGTCTTCAACACCTACCACATACAGTTCACACCTGTACCATACCAAACGGACCGCGTGTCTTAAACACATAAAACATACAGTTCACACCTGTACATTAACAAACGGACCGCGGGTCTTACACAACTACGACCTACACTTCACACCTGTACATTAACAAACGGACCGCGTGTCTTAAACACCTACCACATACAGTTCACACCTGTACACTAACAAACGGAACGAGTGTCTTAAACACCTATCAACTACACTTCACACCTGTATAGTAACAAAAGGAACTAATGTCTTAAACACTACCACCTACCGTTCACACCTGTATAGTAACAAAATGAACGAATGTCTTAAACACTACCACCTACAGTTCACACCTGTGTAGTAACAAACGGAACGAATGTCTTAAACACTACCACCTACAGTTCACACCTGTATAGTAACCAACGGAAAGAGTGTCTTAAACACTACCACCTACACTTCACACCTGTACACTAACAAATGGAACGATTTTCTTAAACACCAATCAACTACACTTCACACCTGTATAGTAACAAACAGAACAAGTGTCTTCAACACTACCACCTACACTTCACACCTGTACACTAACAAATGGAACGATTTTCTTAAACACCTATCAACTACACTTCACACCTGTATAGTAACAAACGGAACGAGTGCTTAAACACCTACCACCTACACTTAGTATATGTAAGTAACAAACGGAACGAGTGTCTTAAACACCTACCAACTACACTTAATACATGTAAGTAACAAACGGAACGGGTGTCTTAAACACCTAAAACCTACAGTTCACACCTATATAACGGGCATCTTAAACACCAAAGCCTAAAAATCATACATCAAGGAAAAGTACACTCATAATGTCAATCAATAAGACCACTGTAGTACAAACGTCAACAGAGAAACAACCCCGATTATTATATGATATTCAGTTTCTGTTTTGATATGGTGATATATATCAATGAATTGTCGTGACTTTAAATCATGGCGTTATTCAGTAGTGAGATATTGAAAGCTACGAGTATTAAAAAACGTTGTACTTCTTAATCATTTCAAATATGAATACAATATTGATAAGTATTTTCGATTCTTTGCATCTGTTAGTGTGAATGCTTTTATTAAAGTACTGTAGACAATAGTATAATTATATTTAGGCAGACAAAATGAAACAGTGAATACCTAACTCAGCTTTAACTAGATGTCATTCAGATTTCAAAAACACTTTATGTAGTCTGTAAGATGTGCAGAAGATGTCCAAGAAATATTCCACCTGGTATTCAAAGAATAATCAGCAATGGGATATGTTATACATACTGTACAACAAATATTGTACCATAAAGTTGATTTAATCGATATCGGGAAAATATGTCCTACTTTCTTTGTAGTCAATACAAAGTATAAGTTTAAGTGTGCTGTCATTGTACGCCAACGTTAAGAGATTTACATCAATAGCTGTCATCAGTTTTCTTATCACGTAAATTGGTTAATCAAAGCACTTAAACGCGTTAAAAATTGCAATATAATTTCTAACTATTTCTTATATCTCTGATTTAGCATAGTGTTTGTCATCTCGAGTCTCTCCTTGTTATCTAACACATGTAGTAGCTGTAGTTTTGTTGGGGAGTACAGCTACAGCAATATCAATACACCTTATTTCTTACTGAACAAGATAACTTTTTCATATACCGTCATATTCTGATGTGCACTTGAAATGTCAGTCATATGTACATATATCGTTAATATTCCAATGAACGCAGGGGCGGAATGTTTACTTAATCCTACTTTTATAAGGAAATCGTTAAATACACGCCTGAACACGGAATAAAGATTTCTCGGGGTGCAGCAGTTGTGAAATATACATTCTTTTTTTAACTGTAATTATGGAGTGATTATATTAGTTTTGTGTGTGTGTGTTTGTATGTGTGTGGGTGTGCGTGTGCGTGTGCGTGCGTGCGTGCGTTAAATGTAAAAGAAATGAGTTGATGCGACTTGTAAATGCTATCGCGTTTTGATAAAATATGTTTTTTGCACAAAATGAAAATTTAAAAGGACCATGCTTTTAAAGAATTATTGATTGGGGTATTTTGAATATTACCGGCATGATAACATGTGGAAGATCATGATCTATACAACTTTTTTAACCTTCGGTGTGATGGTGTTACATAGTTATTTTATCACACGATCAAACATCGTTAAGGAACAAATAAAACAGGTCCTAATAGTTAAACCTATCCTCCAAAGCATAACTGGGGACATTGTTTTCCGAATGTCTCTGAGCTGGGTCATCTTCTTCACTTTCATGAGTTTCGTAAAGGTCATATGACACCATACCAATAACAATAATATTTTTCAAAGAGAATATTGAGATTCCGTGACTCATTCCGTGCCATACAACCATTCGAGTGATCAGAAGTGGAAGGTTTACCATGAATGCCAGCAACACTTTATGTAGAATTACCATTTTTTCCGATAGTTTTTTATGCCCAAAATTCGTTTTCGCAAGAGTTATCAGTGGAATTGTCGGCAACAGAAAGTTAATGCAAGCAATTCCTATAATAGTGTCATCCAAACTCGGTAGAATATTTGCACGTGCTTCTTCGTCGAATAAAATCTCCATGCTGTCTACACAATCTAAAATGTCGAATATGACTGTACCGGTCAGTTCATCAATATACTTACGCCTACCAGAACCTGGCTTAGCATCGTGAAGCGTGGTGAGCAAAATCAGGAAAACTATTCCAGCTAATGCAATTGTTGTTTTCAGTGTGTTTTCTCCAAAGAAATCATTTTCATCCAACTTGTGTGAAAAGTCTTTAAATGCATAAGCCACTTTGAAACATAAAACTGATGCATATACAAACCAGGTAACAACTCCGACACGTGTGTGTATTTCAAGATCTTCGGTGTCTTCTTCTTCAGACGACTTCTGTCGTTGGTGAAATCTGTAGCCGAAATAAAAGGAGATGATAAGAAGGATGAGGACGACAATGTCGGCAGCCGCCCATCCTGCCCAACTTAGGTTTTTGTAGGTGACTAGGTAGTAGTCTAGGCCGGCCGCCTGTAGCAGAAGGATCAGGACACATATCAGCCTAGTAGGCAGGTGCTTCACGGACCGGCAACACTTGATAAACGGGGACGCCATATTGGATTTCCACCCGCAGAAAACTGAAATATAACCATACCAATTGAGTTTATAGGTCTAGAAAAAAAACAGTTCATTCAAAATCCGAAATCATAATATATAGATATACATTTATATATATATATATATTGATCGCGATCTGTTAGTATGGGTATGTCAATTAATTTTGAACTAACGCGTTAAGGAGTAACAATTTTAAATAAAGAATGTATTTACCTCCTCGTTGCTGGACAATCAGTACTATTTTAGCAGTTAGTGATAATGCACAGCTTATATGTATGCTGAAGATAATTCACCAATCATGCAAATAAAATGAAATGTCACCAGATCATGTGAAATGTAATGCCAACACTTTCCCCCGATTTAGAGAAATGGTATATGTTCAGTCTTGTTTGTTGCTCATTCTTAACCCTGGAGATCGTGTATGCAATTCGTCAAAATGTCATTTCGTTTTACTCTTTACTACTACGTGTTGAGCTTGGGGATTTTATTTAATTCTGAACAATTTTGAATAATGTTTCCTTTGAACAATTTTCATATGTTAAATATGGCCACTTTTCGTGCCGTATCAAAAAAAACAATAATAGGCCTAAAATGTTTTGTCGATCATGTTTGTGTGCTCAGCACTTTCTGGAAATATCACTGCAAAAAGCAACGAACAAATTCCAGCTTGATAGTCTGGTATTTCAATCTTCATCGTTCACTGTCTACTCGGACAACAATTAAGATTTGGATTTCTAGAATTCATGCACGACTGTAGCGTTACTGATTTCTAACAGTCACAAAACCAGAAATGCTACCAACCTTCAATATTCGTGCACCGAAGGTCACTACCAGACTTGTTTTGTTAAAATACCTAATGTAACAGCATCTGGTATAAAATTGAATAATAAAACCACAGACACTTCGCTCGCTGATGCAAATATACATATATATATATATGTATATACATTAGGACATAAGTTAGGTACCACCTAAACCTTAGGTTGGACTTAATTTTATTCGTATTATTTTAAAGATACTCATGTCAACTCAAAAGGACATAAAGGCATGATATATGCATCTAACGAAACTATACAGCCAAAAATTTACAAGAACTAAAACGCTGTATCATTTTGAAAGACGTACTTTAAAAAGGCAATCCCAAAGTCTAGAAAAAGAGTTTGTCTTTAAGGAGTATGAACCTCATGTTTGACCGGAAGTAGGGAAATAATTCAGAATAGAATAAATTTCAACATAACATCATGGACTTTAACATTTGATATACTGAGTTACCAATATGTTTTATGACGTGGAGCGCTCAATATGACATTCTGTAATTATTTTCATGGGAAGCAAATTTTATGAAAACATAATTGACGTTGTGATTCGGTTTTTAGCGTTAACAAGTCCAACGGGCTTCCGATGGTAAGATACTACTCTTGGGTATAACTCAGTTTTGAACAGAATTCAGCCAACTCTTGCATGGATTATCAACACAAATCACATATTTGAAATACCTGAATGCTTTCTTGGTAATTTACTTCTCTTGAATTTTAAATTCAATTTCAGTATGTTTCTTGATCTTTATTTTTTCAAAAATGACATTTGGGTGAAAATTGCAAGAAGAAGAAGTACATCGATACTTTCGTTTGTTGTATGACAAGTTTTCTTTTAAAGTCTAGTGAAAGAAGTTCAGAACTTTGTCAAATAAAAACTTTAAGCATTTTTGTCAAATTTACGTATTCCTGTTGCCATTTATATTTACGACTGTCAATTCAAATTGAAAATTAGCAATTTTGGATTATTTTTGGTTATTATTCCAGTGGCATTCTATTGGATTTTAAAGAAAACGAAGTCCGCCATCAAATTCGAACATTTCCAAAAAACCATCCCCACAACTGGTGTTAAATTAAAAACAAAATCAAACAACATACATCTCTAACGAACTTTTATAAAAAGATTTCTCATCAAAACACCAAAATCTTGATAAGAAAGATTGGCTAATAAAACAAGTTCTATTGGGTATGAAAATGTCAATATCGGGATAGCCACCATGCTCCTGTTATAATATATGTCCTTCGTCTCCTTAAATTGACTATACGCTTGACTTGTTCTGAGGAAACCCCTGTCTCTTCTGAACCAGTGAATCCGCAATTCTTCACTTGTTTGGCATTTCGGATCCCGAGCATTGACACTTTTTGTCTGAAATAGACCTACACATACTCAGGTGGATGCATGTTGGATGATGTCACAGGCAACGGGAGCGACTCTATCACTTGCGCTTTCTGGCAATGGACGGATATCGAATGTTTAAGATCGAAGGATCTGATCGCGGTACATCTGCCCATTTAAAGTTCCATCAGGCATAAGGAAACGAAGAGTACAGTTTTGGGAAAAGAATCTATAAACAGTAGCAGCACCACCATGAAATTGATGTCTAATAGTATGCTGTATTTTTTTAGTCTCCAAACACGGAGCCTATCGTCTGTGTCACTAAGTAAAACGCGACTTTCATCAGACCACTGGACTCTTCACTATTCCATATTCCATACCCGGCGATCACATCCAACTTGCAGACTTGCTTGCTTGTGCCTTCCAGTCATCAGAGGATGTTTTATTTGTCGGTGGAAGCGAAGTCGCTTATTGTTCAACGTCTGTTGTCGGTACGCCGACTAACGTGAACATAGACGTTCCACTGTCCTCAGAGCCTGTTAGCAGTGGTGACTGGGGTTCGCCTTGCCTGTCTATCTTCTCTTTGTGTAGTCTTTCGAGATCTGCCAGACCTGGGATATTCGTAAAACACGTCCAATTTGGCTCAGACGCCGCATTAATTGCGAATTGTAGCTACATGCCTGTATGTCATACCAACTTGAACCATTAATTCCAGATTATTGCCATCTTTCAGCATTTCTCAACGTTTGAAATGTAGCATTTTCCAGTACTACACATGCAAACGCTGTTTCACGTGGCAAAGCAAACTTTGTTTTGTTAGAGTACGGGGTTCCCCAGTTTAATCCGCGTTATCGCTGAGATGGGTGTATTAAAAGGAGAGGCTTTCAAGGAGTACAGCAAGGTTTAGTTTTTCATAAAAGGAATAATCAGTTTTATTAACACTTTCTTACTGACATTGATGGTAAGCGAAAGGTACATAACTCCACAATTGTCGTTTTAGGGTATATCAGTTAAAGACTGTAACTTTAAAACTCCGAAGAGTTGTATATATCATTGTCAGGATAAATTATCTATGGCTCGGGTCTGTAACTTCAAGAAAAGTACACAATTCCGACCACAAAACACTGAAAATACCCAAATATCGTTTGGTCGGACACAAACTCGTAGCCCGATTCATCGGAAATATCTTATTGAGCTGGGCTAGCCGACACCCTGTTGGAGGAAACATGAGTTAAAAAAAAGATAAGATGGAGGGGTGCACTTATCCAATCATTAAAATCATCACTTAAATCATAGTATGTTTTTTTTATAAATGGTAGTTCATTTGACAATCGTAAGTACAAACGCTTGTTCTAATCAATCAAATTCCTATGTACATTCTAGAAGTTTTATCAATTAAAACAGTCTTCCACTACATATATGGTTGTACCATTGCACCATTGTATTGTGTAAAAAATAATTTCTCGTAAAGCATGCATACAGGTAAGATGATTCATGTTCCAATTAGCACAAACATGTGTCATTTCAAACCAAATTGTATTACGTAAGTATTCGATAACCAAATAACATAAGACAAACATTTGCATTATTACACAACATGTGAAATTATGATATATGAATTTCATTGGAAATGTCTCAATTACTGCATCATGTATTTATCTTTATCCTATTCCGTAGGTTACATATATATTACAATTAGCATAATTATGTCAAACATAGGTAAATAACCGTGATCAAAACACCACGTGACTGAAAATACAAGGGTGTACTTACTTAAGAATAGCTAGACATTCTCGTCTGTGTGTGATGTTTCATACAACTCTTAAGCTCCTCGAAACGATCTACAAAGAGTAAAACAGTTCTACTACAATACATACCATCTCTATACCACCATCTCTCAAGTGAGTCAACACAGTGTATATGTTTTGTACAGTTGCCCGTTCTCTATATAGCTCGCATCTTACATTAGTATCACATAACACTGTCAATAAGTTACTATTCTTGTCCATTTCCACTAACAAATGTGATGTGCTGGAATCATATTTCACACCATAAATCATGATTCGAGTATTCAATACATCTCCGAAATCAATACAAACATTAAGTCGTACTTTGGTGATTAAGGTAAATATTTAGAGCGCTTCATCAGGCTTCACTAAGTTGACGTATACCTCTAACAAAGTCACACATGAATTATACATGAAAGATTATGTGATGTGATAAGGAAGCAAGGGATTTTGGTAATTTATTTGAAATAAGAGAACATATCATAGAATTGTAATGCTGTAATACTATAACATACACGTAAACCCATTTAATTAATGATATCAGTGGTGTCATAAAAAAACAGCAATCTCTTTTTATACAGTATCGATTGAACACAATAATATGTAATTCCCTAAGGAACTATCTGGGTCATGATGTACATTGTGCTCCTACAACTTTTCTCCGTCGTTTTTGTCCTTTTGACTAACCATTAATGTTATATATTGGAACACAATCAATTCACTATGCATTTGTAGCAACAACAGAAAATGCCTCGTTAAAATACTTGGAATAGAGATTACATTTAAGTCAGGTCAACTACATCAGATACCCAGACTTAAGAACATCCCTTAATTCCTTGATTCAATTGCATCTTACAAAGGAAACCTTGATTCCTCATAAAAGGACACATTTATTCTATCATACCCCACATAAAAGCACGCCCTGATTCTATCATACCCCACATAAAAGCACGCCATGATTCTATCATACCCCACATAACAGCACGCCATGATTCTATCATACCCCACATAACAGCACACCATGATTCTATCATACTCCACAAAAGCACACCCTCATTCTATCATACCCCACATAAAAGCACATCCTGATTCTATCATACCCCACATAAAAGCACGCCCTGATTCTATCATACCCCACATAAAAGCACGCCCTGATTCTATCATACTCCACACAACAGCACACCATGATTCTATCATACCCCCACATAAAAGCACGCCATGATTCTATCATACTCCACAAAAGCACACCCTCATTCTATCATACCCCACATAAAGGCACGCCATGATTCTATCATACCCCACATAAAAGCACACCCTGATTCTATCATACTCCACACAACAGCACACCTTGATTCTGTCATACCCCACATAAAAGCACACCCTGATTCTGTCATACCCCACATAACAGCACGCCATGATTCTATCATACCTCATATAACAGCACGCCATGATTCTATCATACCTCACATAACAGCACGCCATGATTCTATCATACCTCACATAACAGCACGCCATGATTCTATCATACCTCACATAACAGCACACCATAAATCCATTAAACTACATAGATCTCTTCCAAAAAGGAAAAGTTAATGAAAATATGAAGACGTTATAAACACGAAACACAATTATACTGAACGAATTTTATATAAACTACCTGATATCGAATCGAATTGAATTTGGAATCTGTTAATTAAATCGCATTAATTTCTGCTGGGAAATGCAGTCTTATGTACTGATGTTTAATGCATGGTTTTACTTCCGTCGGGTTTATCGGCTAAAATTCACGAGGGAATTACATTGGAATGTATTATTGATGCTTGCAGTGAGGAGGATAATCAAAAACGTTTGAAGATTATTAATTGCATTATAACAGAGCACTTGGCGTATTCTGATTAATATTCGACCTTAATTATGCATGTCTTTGTTGTTATATTAATTCAAATAGTGGAACGGTTCAGAATATAACAGTACATGGTTGGCCTTGTTCTAAAAACATCTGATATATGAATAATGTATAATGACTTTACGATCACTCGGAATTTCCTCAGTCGGTTCCTCGGCTTCAAAATTTAGACTCCTAGCATCACTGAAGAGTTCTAAATGAACGAAACAGTTTAGTTCATTGTTGGACATCACTCTAAATTTGTATCAAAATGTGTTGTTCATGTATGTCTCATGTACAATCGTTATGGAAATAAACATGTTCAATTTCAATAATGCACAAGTCTTTTACTTCATATCTATACTACTTTACTATCTTCCTAGTAATACTATTCGCTTGTGCAGAAGGTGGAACAATCTAATTTGTTTGTTATTCGATTATCCAGTATAGATATTTCTTTTAATTGTTTTTGTCAAATCAGCTTTTTCACAACCATGGGTATTAATATCAGCAAATTACGATACATCTGTTGTAGCATATATGATGAGAACACTTCGCTTTAATTTGGTGCAACCAGAACACCTCGATTTAATTTGGTGCGACCAGAACACCTCGCTTTAATTTGGTGCGACCAGAACACCTCGATTTAATTTGGTGCGACCAGAACACCTCGCTTTAATTTGGTGCGACCAGAACACCTTGATTTAATTTGGTGCAATCAGAACATCTCGTTTTAATTTGGTGCGACCAGAACACCTCGCTTTAATTTGGTGCGACCAGAACACCTTGATTTAATTTGGTGCAATCAGAACATCTCGTTTTAATTTGGTACCATCAGAACATCTCGTTTTAATTTGGCGCGATCAGAACATTTGATAGAAGACGGATAGAAAAAAACATGGGCGAGAAGGGTAGATAACTTTGTTATGCAATGTGTAAGTATATGCATGGGTATATAAAGATAGGTAAACAAATAAATGACAAAGTACATGTAGGCGATACTTATATAAATTACATACATTTATGTTACTAACATTGCAAAAATATGTGTTTTATGTGCTGTGTATATATTGGTAAACCTCCAAGACTCTAGTGTAGCTGGAACTTCTTTTATCTGTCATATAATTGACGTTATGAATATCAGAGATCAAAGAGGGGTAGAGAACATTTGCTCTATAATACAAGTCTGCCGTGATTCTGTGATCCTAATTCATGATTTTTTTTTTTTTTTTTTTTTTTTTTTTTGGGGGGGGGGGGGGGGGGGTGGATTTCACAGAAGTTTAACAATGACAAGTACCTTTTGAATGCATTACAAAAAACTATGATTCAACAACAGTTACCAAAAATGACATTGAACCTAAAGTTATCGGAAAATTATGAGGACTACCCGTACCAAATTTTACCCGAAGTGTCCTTCGTAACTAGACTAGATGTACGTCATAAGGAGAGCAGTCTGTGAGCAACTATTAAAGTGTTCGACCTGATATAGCATCATACTGTCTCTTTATGTAAGCTATTATTTTTGTACAATGCTGCAATTCTATTCCAGGGTTTAATTAGCATCGAAGTTGTCCTCCGCGAGTCGCAACCACTGCCGGTACTCGCCGTAACGTTCTTTCACATTTGTGCGGTGAGACAGCCATAACGTTCTTTCACCTTTGTGCGGTGAGACAGCCGTAACGTTATTTCACCTTTGTGTGGTGAGACAGCAGTAACGTTATTTCACCTTTGTGTGGTGAGACAGCAGTAACGTTATTTCACCTTTGTGTGGTGAGACAGCCGTAACGTCGGTTCTGGAACCGACTAAAATTGTCCTGTATAACAAAACTAACAGACGAAACAGTTTATAGTTAATGCATAAACAACAAACTGGTGGGAAATAGAATCATCTTGTAGCATTATGAAAATAGCATCTATATATCAAAGAAACTTAAAGAACACGTAGATATAAGCATTTACGCTTTCATCTCTGAATCTTCGTGATACTTAATTACCTAAATACATTGTTACTAGGCAGTACTCTATGACGTCATATAAACCTAAATTACAGTCTGTATTTTATACTACAGGAATTAATCTAACATCAGTTTTATTTTTTGATCTGTTTGGAAGAGATTAATGTGTTTTTGTTCAGGTCAGAATATTGTATGGACGGGGTTTTCAGGTTCATCACATTATAACTTGCACCAGCTGTGTGTAGTGTGAAGTTCTGTGTTAAAGCCTTGCAAACATTTGAGCCAGTATCTTTTCCAGCATCCTTTTTATAAATACCAAGGGCAATCTGACTATAAATTTAAGGTCAAAACGTTAAAAAATGAAGTTATGTTAATGTTTTTTCCTATAAACTACAACGTCACTAAATCATCGTGTTGTGATAATGCTGCATTGTAAATTACATCATAATGTGCTCGCTCTCTGCACGCGCCTCAGTATAACGCCCTTACGCGAGACATTAGAAAAGCAAATGTATAGTGTAAATTGACTGTTTAAATCTTTCCCGGGAAGATAATTGATTCATTCAGCTGGCGGGTGTCTCGTTATAACAAAATCGAGCTTTATCACACGAGCATTGTTAGTATGTAGCAGTTGTTTTAGATACTATATGTTAGCGACCCGATTAAGCCTTGTATATTTATTATCAACAACAAAGAATTTATCTCTCTGTGTGTGTAGATGTAGTTTTTGAACCACCATTCCGTTCCATAGCATCAAAAAAAATATTAATTTTCAAAACAACTGCAGGTGGTGTAAATAAGACATTTGGTTATTATCACATTAACATATTTTAGTGCGTTTAGCACTTTCTCTCCGAGAAACGCGAGGAATTACGTTTTATAGTAATGCTGAGTTATTAACCCGTCACTCCAGGCGCATGACTATCCGTGGTAAACTCGACAGCCGGCCCGAAAACCACATGTTTGTCGTCTCCAACGAAAGTACGTATACCGATAACACTACATTGAATCTAGTGATGAAACGTGCACGCGTTAAGAATTTTTTAAAGTGCTATGTTTACCTTTGCCCTCTATTGACACAATTCACATACCTTCAGCTCTTCGGATGGTCTGTAGGCGATTTTAGTGCTAACATCTTCTCAAAGAGTTCGGGTCTTCTGAAGTGGAAGAGCGGCAAAGTGCTTGGGAAGCCCTAATTTAATATGTATTAAAAACCAGGTCTATCTAAAGGACTGGGACATATGTACGACTGTAAAGATAGCGTGATGAAACAACCAAAGGACACACACACACAGTCCTGATCTACCCACCTCATTATTAATGTACAGTGTTCCGAATATAGCTTTAAGAGTACGCAGTGAAGCGCACAGTGAAGGACGAACTCGAGCTTTCTTACAATGCTACAACCACGTGTAAAATATATTCAATACCCTTGTCGGGTATCCTGTTCTAATCCGCCAACATTACATGTAGATTTGAGGAAAACTTCTCTAGGTCAGAGCACGTCGCCAGAACGCTGACTTTTGTCGGTGAGACGATATCCGAAAACGTGAGGAGTCACGGAGACGGCGAACCTGTCAATCAATTCGGATCAGAATGGGGGATCTGTTAACTTACACTTGTGTTGAGTATTAGGTTACAGGCCGTGATTTACCAGAACACCTTGTCGTCCATATTTAGTTTATATCCATTAGTGTACTTTTCATTAAACGAACTGCAATTTAGAATTACAATTACATTGTCAAATACATGTGTTTACTATAGTCACACGGGTCTTAAACTGTTTTAAAGCATACACATGCAAATTACAATTGTATATTTACAGCGTATACATGATTGTGAGACATGATCTATCTATTCTGAGCTATAATATCACATCCTACACGGCCATGTTCACTCAAAACGCATGCACGGCTGAAAAAGAATATTAACTCCAGTTTACAAACCTTTGACTGGATGTCAGGTGGATCCGTCTGTGTTACTGACGCCCGCTCGTAACACTGAGTAGATCTACACCATGTGTACAAGTCCGGCGGCACCTACATACCGGGAGATCAAGTAAGACTGAATCTTGTTTGACAATGCATTTGTTATAGGGCGGTCCTCTGATCGATCGACTTCAGGACAATCATCAATAGTGCCTCATTGAAAATTTTTATTGAAAACGTGCGTTATAGATTTACACAAACTAACAATGCTACAGTAGTATTTTTGTAAAGTCATTAGTGTACGGTTTATTTATAGTACATCTGTCGTGTTACCCTGGTAACTTGACTGGTACTAATCATTTACTAACATAACAGGTAATACCACCGTTATGGTAGTAAACATCTGTCATATCAATTAACTAAAAAATGACCTCCACTCTTAAAAAGCACCCAACTCTTCACAAAGCAAAGTGACCTCCACTCGTGAGAGATGGATCAGTATGCTGTATTATATACCCCTTTATTTGTATTTTTCACGGCTAAGTGACAACTCGGTCATTATGATGAAGGATCCCACATAGCGTGACGTTAAGCTAGTCTGTAAGCCACTGATAAACTTACATAGTAGTATAATCTGGGGCTCGTAACCTTTAAGTGGATTATCGTACAAAAATACACATAACATAAACAAAGTAATCAAAGACTCATATATTCTACACACTTAATTTTTAGCTAAATCTGTTAGAGTCCTTGGGCTCAAGATGGTTTATATTTCGACAGTGGTCAAGAGTGACCTTTGACCTTCAGGCCCAGAACGTGTTGCTATAATCACCAATGATAATCAGGTGTAGTACTCAAAAGATGTTATTTTGTAGTGTGACTAGAAACTACATTTGTACATATGTAAGGAGATTCATTGTGTAAGGACAAGATTTTATCTCGACAGTGGCCATGTGTGACCTTTTAACTTGACCGATGACCACCAAAATGTAGACTGGTGTGGAACATACTGGCGTTATTCAATGTCAAGAATATATACATGTATAAGACATCTGATGCGCGAGGTTTTTATTTTAAAAGTCGTCAAGAGTCAGATTTAACCTTGACTAATGACCACAAAATTTTATTCCGGCGGATGTTGTGATACTATGATGGGAAGAAAAACTCTATCTGTGTAAACACATGCGATACCTTGTACACAAGTTATGCATGCACGAACGCACAATGTTGTTAAAGCACACACCCTCGCAATGCAAATGGGTGTGTAAAAATAGTATCAGATACAAAGGAGTAAAAACAGAATGAACCACATCATATCGCTATTTCTCCTATGATTCATCAGTGGTGATATGGCCCAAGTTTGCTAAAAGATTATAAGATGACACACAAGTGAATAGCTCATTTTAAAAATTTAGAGTTAGATACTGTTGTATTTAAACTTCAACATACAACTGTTTCGTCCTCCTAGAACTCGTCAGTGATGCTAGGGGCCTAAAATTTGCAGCCTATGAGGCGGCCAAGGCAAATCCAAAGTGATCGAAAGACAAGTCAAAATCAAGACGGGGAGACAGCATCTCCATAATTTTCATATTTCGGATAATTTTGGAACACCGTAATGTACATGTATGTATTCTACCTTGGAGGCGACCGAGGACAATCGGGGAAATAAATGACAAAATATAGATGCAGGAGTTCACTAGCTCCGTTGCTATGCTCTTCAGCGAGTATCGTGTAGCATCATTTCATATAAACCAGTGTAATGTAACCTATTGTGACGTCGATAGACGTAGATCAAATGACGACACACAGGTTTCGTCACACGTCAAGATGGAGATCATCAATCATATATACGTAAACAAATTCCAATTCGTTTAATAGATAAAATCAGCCAGTCAAATACGTCATTTGAAAAAATATGTTCCCGTTCCATATTCGATAATGCCAACAACAATGGCACCCGATCTTATTTGAATTAAGTACTGCAAGAAAAGATGTATGCTTTCTGATTCTGATTTTGAACTGGATACATGAAATACGAATTGTAGTTTGTATACTTATATATGTTACCGAAAGATGTCACATGAAATTGATTTACATACACACCTACGGCGTTTTAAGCTGATATCACATTTATTTGACCTAGATTTAAGTGGACAGATCTCTCACTTTCATAGTGGGCGAAAAGTGTGTGAATTTAGTCGGACACTCACAGTGGGCGAAATGTGTTTGAATTTAGTCTGGCACTCACAGTGGGCGAAAGGTGTGTGAATTTAGTCTGACACTAACAGTGGGCGAAAGGTGTGTGGATTTAGTCTGGCATTCACAGTGGGCGAAATGTGTTTGAATTTAGTCTGGCACTCACAGTGGGCGAAAGGTGTGTGGATTTAGTCTGGCATTCACAGTGGGCGAAATGTGTTTGAATTTAGTCTGGCACTCACAGTGGGCGAAAGGTGTGTGGATTTAGTCTGACACCCACGGTGGGCGAAAAGTGTGTGAATTTAGTCTGGCACTCACAGTTGGCGAAAAGTGTGTGAATTTAGTCGGACACTCACAGTGGGCGAAATGTGTTTGAATTTAGTCTGGCACTCACAGTGGGCGAAAAGTGTGTGAATTTAGTCGGACACTCACAGTGGGCGAAATGTGTTTGAATTTAGTCTGGCACTCACAGTGGGCGAGAAGTGTGTGAATTTAGTCGGACACTTACAGTGGGCGAAAAGTGTGTGAATTTAGTCGGACACTAATAGTGGGCGAAAGGTGTTTGGATTAAGTCTGATACTAACATTGGGCGAAAGGTGTGTGAATTTTGTCTGACACTAACAGTGGGCGAAAGGTGTGTGAATTTAGCCTGACATTCACAGTAGGCGAAAGGTGTGTGGATTTAGTCTGACACTAACAGTGGGCGAAAAATGTGTGAATGTAGTCTGTAGTATTTTAAGTCGTGTTTTCCTTGCAGCTAATTTATATGTGAAAAAAGATAAACAGCATTTGGCGGCATACCGGTGGTGAATTTTTGTCAGATATTTGGTATTTCCCCAAAATGGTGAACTTATGTTTATGATACGAGCTCTCATTCCCCAAAAATGATAGTAACGGGACCATGTGCTATCGATGTGGAGTAAAACCATACCAGATTAACGGAATCTGGAACCACAATGCAGACTAAAGGAGCCTAGAACCACAATATCAGATTGATTATGTTAGAACCACAATATCAGACGGATTAAGTTATAACCACAATATCAGACGGATTAAGTTATAACCACAATAACAGACTGATTAAGTTATAACCACAATAACAGACTGATTAAGTTATAACCACAATATCAGACGGATTAAGTTAGAACTACAATATCAGACGGATTAAGTTATAACCACAATATCAGACTGGTTAAGTTATAACCACAGTATCAGGCGGATTAAGTTATAACCACAATATCAGACTAACTTTAGTTGGAACCACATCACCAGATTAACTTTAGTTAGAACCACATCAACAGATTAATTGACGCTTGTGCCACAGCACCAGACTAACTTATTAACACCAGACCGACTGAAGCTAGAACCACAACACCAGATTAACTGAAGCTAGAATCACATCACCAGATTAACTAAAGCTAGAACCACAACACCAGATTAACTGACGCTAGAACCACAACACCAGATTAACTAAAGCTAGAACCACAACACCAGATTAACTGAAGCAAGAACAACAGCACTAACTGAAGCTAGAAACACATCACCAGATTAACTGACGCTAGAACCACAACACCAGATTAACTGACGCTAGAACCACAATACCAGACTCACTGAAGCTAGAACAACAACACCAGATTAACTGAAGCTAGAATCACAACACCAGATTAACTGACGCTAGAACCACAATACCAGACTCACTGAAGCTAGAACAACAACACCAGACTAACTGAATCTAGAACAAGAACACCAGATTAACTGACGCTAGAACCACAACACCAGATTAACTGAAGCAAGAACAACAGCACCAGATTAACTGACGCTAGAACCACAACACCAGACTAACTGAATCTAGAACCACAACACCAGATTAACTAAAGCTAGAACCACAACACCAGACTAACTGAATCTAGAACAAGAACACCAGATTAACTGACGCTAGAACCACAACACCAGATTAACTAAAGCTAGAACCATAACACCAGATTAACTGACGCTAGAACCACAACACCAGACTAACTGACGCTAGAACCAAAACACCAGATTAACTAAAGCTAGAAACACAACACCAGATTAACTGAAGCAAGAACAACAACACCAGATTAACTGAAGCTAGAATCACAACACCAGATTAACTGACGCTAGAACCACAACACCAGACTAACTAGAACAACAACACCAGACTAACTGAATCTAGAACCACAACACCAGATTAACTAAAGCTACAACCATAACACCAGACTAACTGAATCTAGAACCACAACACCAGATTAACTAAAGCTAGAACCACAACACCAGATTAACTGAAGCAAGAACAACAACACCAGATTAACTAAAGCTAGAACCACAACACCAGATTAACTGAAGCAAGAACAACAACACCAGACTAACTGACGCTAGAACCACAACACCAGATTAACTGAAGCTAGAACCACAACACCAGACTATCTGAAGCTAGAACCACAACACCAGACTATCTGAAGCTAAAACCACAACACCAGATTAACTGAAGCTAGAACCACAACACCAGATTAACTAAAGCTAGAACCACAACACCAGATTAACTAAAGCTAGAACCACAACACCAGATTAACTGACGCTAGAACCACAACACCAGACTAACTGACGCTAGAACCACAACACCAGATTAACTAAAGCTAGAACCACAACACCAGATTAACTGAAGCAAGAACCACAACACCAGATTAACTGAAGCTAGAACCACAACACCAGATTAACTAAAGCTAGAACCACAACACCAGATTAACTGACGCTAGAACCACAATACCAGACTCACTGAAGCTAGAACCACAACACCAGACTAACTGACGCTAGAACCACAACACCAGATTAACTGAAGCTAGAACCACAACACCAGA